GGAAAGATCTTCCAATGCAAGATGGGATAGCTTAGAGGGGCCAGTGCTGTCATTAAAAACAGGAAGTCTAGATTCATACTCCAGCTCTGTCAGCAAATAATAAGGTATTGTAGGAGACTAAGCGCTGTGTTGGACTTTTAAAATATGTTATCTAATTAATGTTTTTAATTATCCAGGAATAGTTACTCTCCTCCTCCCAAATAACAGAAGAAAAGGAGGCATAATGAGGTTAAGTAATCTGCCCAAAGTCACCATGAATGCCCTTCTATAACTAATGCTAACCTTCCATGACTCCCTAGGGCCAGAAGAAGAAAATCCAGTGTGAGTATTAAAGAGTGAAAAGGCGTGGCTCACATGGAAAGTCCTTAACTCACCACCTAGCACATGTTTAAATGCTCAACAAATGATATTTTGTATCAGTAACAGAAGGCATTTGAAAGCCTTTAAAGGATCACGTAGAGCATACAGATTTCATGGATTTGTACACACGGAAGCACTTGGTACTAGAAGATATTTGGGCAAGTATGAAATGCACATGAATTTTTACATGTGCAGGAATTGAGCAGGGCTACCAATCATGTGCCTGAAGTTGCTCATAATCCTGCCATTTCAAGTAAATTAAAACAAAAAATACAAGTAAGAGCTCCACAAATAGTAAACTATAAAAAAAGAAAAAATAATCCACAAATTTTCCCTCTGATTCATTTCCTTCTTCCTGGGGGTGCACCCTGTTCTTACACAGAATGTCTCATTGCCAGAATCCTGTTCCCTTTGCTTTCCACAATCAGGCCACAACCAGGCCAATGCTAACTTTCTTAGTTTTGGAAATAAGACCTTTATCTCATTGGGAGTGTTTGCTCAGCTGAGTGGCTCAAAGTCTGCCACCTACAGAATGAGAGAAAGATTTTTTGCAAATCGTATATCTGATAAGAAACTTGTATCTAGAATATATAAAGAACTCTTATAACTCAATAGTGAAAAGACAGATAACCCAATTTAAAAATGATCAAAGGATCTGAATGGATATTTCTACAAAGAAGACAGAAATGGCCAATAAGCACATGAAAAGATGCTCAACATCATTAACCATCAGAGAAATGCAAATCAAAACGACAATGAGAACTACTTCACACCCCCATAAATTATTATTAAAAAGAGAATAACAAGTGTTGGTCAGGATTTGGAAAAATTGAAACCCTCATATGCTGCTGATAAAATGTAATACAGTGCAGCCTCTCTGGAGAACAGTCTGGCAATTCCTCAAAAAGTTAAACATAGAGTTCCCATATGAGCCAGCAATTCTAGGTATATACCCAATCCTAGGTATATACCCAAGCAAAATGAAAATACATGTTCACACAAAAATATATACAGGAATGTTCAGCACTATTTGTAATAGCCAGGAAGTGGAAACAACCCAAATGTCCATCAACTGGTGAATAGATAAATAAAGGATGGTATATCCATATTGTGAAATACTATTCAGCAATGGAAAGGAATAAAGTACTGAAATATAATACAATATGGACAGATCTTGAAAACATTATGCTAAGTGGAAGAATCCAGGCACAAAAAGCCAGATGTATGATTCCATTTATATTAAATGTCTATAACAGGCAAATCTATAGAAACAGAAAGTAGATGGGTGGTTGCCTATAGCTGAGGGACTGGGAGCAGAGGAAAAGGTGAGTGACTGCTAATGGGTACAGTTTCTTTTACAAGTGATGAAACATCCTAAAATTGATTATGGTGATGATTGCAAGACTGTAAATATGCCAAAAACCACTGAATTGTATGCTATGTGAATTGTATTTCAATAAAGCTGGGGGGAGTTCTTAATCTCATGCTTTGCAGGCAGCTGGAGTTCATTTAAACTGAGCCATGGAGTAGATCGTGACATGGAGGCAATGTGGTGCTGTTAGCAGTTAAAAGCGTTGAGTTTCAGAATTAGACTCCAGTGTCTTACCTATCCTTGCCCCACACTCTCCCCTATGGATGCTTTCAGGATCACCAGAGTTCCAACACTAGCTGTATAACCTTGGGAAACTCTGTAAGCTTTAATTTTGTTATCTACAGAATACTTGTGATAATACAGTCTCTGTGGCTTTGGGTAGATCGAATGAGATGATCTGGGTAAACAATTTATCATAGCAACTGGCACTTTGTGAGTGTTCAGTAGAAAGCAATTGACGTCACCATCTTCACCCTCAACATCTCCATCCATGCTCAAACCTGTTTACTCGTGCTCTCTCTGATGTGATCTTGGATGGTTTAGTAATGAAGTAAGTGATTTATTCCATTATATATTATTTTTGTCATCATCCCTTTCTTCTGCTCCCACCATTCAATCAGAGTAGGAATCAGAAATTCACACACTCTTATCTCCATCAACTTTAAAAGAAGGAGAGGAAAAGTTGTCCTAGTTTAGGGATGCAAATAATTTAGCAGTAGCAGGATGACCAGAGCCCACATTACCAGACTTTGGAGTTTATGTCATCAGGCATGGGGTGAAATAGTTTTTCAGGCATAAAAGAGGAGCATAGTTTCTGTCCTATTAAAGAGATCAGTTGTCCACTGTGTTCAATATTCTGTCTTCCACTCTGGCCAAGAGAGATGCTTCAGGGAATGCCATAAATATCCATTAACATACTTAATTACACACTCTTGTACCATGGGAGACAGATAGCTGTCCCAATGCCAGCTGGTCCTTGCCCTGAATATTCAACATTTATATCTTCAAGGTAGCTTACAAATTTAAACTAATGAATCTCTCTTCCTTCAGGAGGCTTTTTCTTACCGGAGAGATGGAAAGACCACTTACCTGCTGCCTGCCTCCATCTGTAAGCTACTGCATTGATTGTCACCTCATGCCTGTTTGATTTTATGGGCATTTGGAACTCTTGCACCATAAATCATTTATTGAACACCAACTGTATGTCAGGAAGGGTGTTAGGCATTTGGGGAGGAAAGAAGACTAAGATTTGATTCCATAGAACTTCTGGGAGGAGTTCTACGTCTACGAGAGTATATTTATTCTCCTACATTATGGTCCCCTAAAAATGGATGTCTAGGAGAAAGACATATCTGCAGATAACAATCATGTAGAATATCAATACTGAAATGGCACAGAAGAACAGCACAGAAAAATAACTTCTTAGAGGTCACTACACAACACTTCCATTTACATCTCATTGGCCAGAATTTAGTCTCACGGCCTGGTCTAGTTGTAAGGGAGAAAGGGGAAATGTACTCATTTAGTGGCATGACAATGTGCCCAGATATAAATTGCAGTTCTGTTCCAATGAATGAAGGAGAGAATGGATTTTGGAAACCAATTAGCAATCTCTGTCACTGGAGGCATCAAAGATTTTTAATAAGGGAGTGATAAATTTAGATTTGTGGTTATGAGAATCTTTGGTGGCCCTGAAAGCATCAGTAGAGAAGTGTGTGGAGCAAGGAAAAGTAAGACAGTAAGGGGAAGGGTGGGGTATTAGTTTGTTTCTGTTGCTTATAACAAAATACCTGATACTGGGTGATTTATAAAGAAAATGAAATTTATTGCTTACAGTTTCAGGGGCTAGCAAGTCCAAAGTCCAGGGAACACATCTGATGAGAGTCTCGGTGGTGGTGACAGTGACCCACGGGTCTCACGTGGCAGGAAAGGGTGGAGCAGAGAGAGATTAACCTCTCACGTGCTCTTCTCTTAAATCCTTCAGAACCACACCTATGACCACCATTTTTAATCCATTCACTACTGCATGGTCCAGTTTCAGAGGCTAGCAAGTCCAAAGTCCAGGGAACACATCTGATGAGAGTCTCGGTGGTGGCGACAGTGACCCATGGGTCTCACATGGCAGGAAAGGGTGGAGCAGAGAGAGATTAACCTCTCACGTGCTCTACTCTTAAATCCTTCAGAACCACACCTATGACCACCATTTTTAATCCATTCACTACTGCATGGTCTTACGATTTAATCACCTCTTCAAGGCCCCACCTTTCAATTACCAGAATAGGATTTCCCACCCTCAACAGTTACCATGGGATCAAGCTTCAGTGGGGTATCCACAGTGAAGGGAAGCAGCCACAGTGACTAGTTGCAAGATGGGCTTCAACAACTGAGAGGATATTGGAGGCAATCTATGAGAAAGCCATCTTAGGAGAGGGTTAAGGCGAATAAAAACACGCGCAATTTTATCCCGTTTGTTGATCAAGGAGCTAACAATGTTGCAGGAGAAACACATCTGCAAACACCACTGTTGGCAAATCACTGCACCACATGCTATAGTAAAGGGTATAAACCAACTGCTGAGCACAAACGAAGGAAGGATTGGATCTGACTCAGGAGAATGGCAGAGGAGAAACTGCAGAATCAAAGTTACCTCAACAAGCAGACACAGGGTCCCTTGGCCTCAGGCATTGTGCCACTATTCCCGCAAGTGTGAAGACACTATTTCTAAGACCAGCTATGAAGTGTTCTCTATATGTGGGAATTGTTTACATTCCGGCCATTGATTTCATTCACTGTGTCCATTTCATCCGGTTAATCTCATTCATTCATTATTCTCCGTCAACTCCATGAGGGCGTAGACATTGTGTCCTGTCCATCGGTGCGTCCCCGACGCCCACAGCAGAGCCTGCCACTGATCAAAGGCAGAAAGTGTAGCCAGGACTTGACATCTTTGCTTTTCACGATTTCCGGCAGAGCATAGAGGCCTACGCAGTCCCAAGCTGAAGAAAACAGACACGACCGGAGGCAGCACCTCTTCTTCCAAGCATAGCACCGTCTGGCGCCGAGTGGCGGGTCCCCGGGGCCTGCGGAACTCAGAAGCCGTGGAACCTGAAGGCCACGGAACCTGGGGGAGGTGGAACCCGGGGGTCTGTGGAACCTTGGTTCCGGCGGAACCTGACAGCGGCGCCCACTGCGCCACACGGACTCTGTTTGGAACGGAAACGCAGCGTCCTCCGCTTCCTAGTTGCCGGTGGGCGCGGAGGGCTGGGGCCGGCCTCTGCGATGCTGCCCTTCACGGTGAACTTCAAGGTGTCCGCGCGCACCCTCACCGGGGCCCTCAGCGCCCACAACAAGGCGGCGGTGGACTGGTGAGGGCGTCGGGCTTCCCGGCTGTCAGATCGGCCCCGAGTTTGTGAGGGGAAGGGGAAAGAACGAGAGGTTTCACTCCTGGGTTAGTTTGGCCTCGCTAAGACAGGCTGCCGCCATCACACTGAGATTTCCTTTTAGAGGATGGATTTTTGCTGCTATAGAAGTAATAAATGCCCCGTGGGGAATTCCCCCGTGCAAATACATCTGCCCTCTCTTTCCCATGCTTGTTTCTCTGCTCCTTTCTGCGCACCTCCTTCCCTTTCTCTTCTCTTTACCGCGCCTCCAACCTCCAGGCTTTCCTCCCTCCACCCTCCCTGTCCACTTTCTCTTCCCCGCCCTGTGTTTTCTTTCCTTCTCTCGGCCCTGTTTTTCATCCAACAATGTGCCAGACTCTGTGCTCGCACCTATCCTCAACTTTATCTTTTCTGGCCCCTCCTGTGTAGGATGTTCCTATCTACCACAGTTCATCTCTATTACTCTTTATCTTTTCACTGTGAAATAACAGTGCAGTTCTGAAAACTAACAATTAGACAAATGTAAAGCGAAATTCTGTAGCTGTGGCGCTGGGAATGTTGTCAAGAGGACTAAAACCTCCTGCCCAGGGTTTGTCTTTTTATCTGGTTGGAAGGACTGGGACTAGTCACAGATATTTATCCCAAGCACATTGTGGATACTAAAGATTCGAAGTTGAATAAGACAAGGTGTTTGCCCACAAAGACAGTCAGAGGGCAGAGTTGCTTCGAAGGCTGTAATGCATATCTCTTAGAACCTTTTTTTTCGTCCGAATGAAAAATGAATTTCAACAGGCGTTTGTAAGCATAGCTAGACCTTTTACTTAATTGGGATGACATAAAATACTGGCCTGTGAGTTTAAATAATAATTTTATTAATGGTGGTTCATGTGAGTTAGATTTATCATGTATTTAGGATTGGCAGGAGAGAAGTCTTGCTTTGTTTTGTACTTAAATTTTAATATTGTTGTTTTGTTAGGGGCTGGCAAGGTTTAATTGCTTATGGATGTCATTCACTGGTGGTAGTGATTGATTCCAATACTGCCCAAACTCTTCAAGTTTTAGAAAAACATAAAGCTGATGTTGTCAAGGTAAGTCAGATCCCACTTTGACCTTATAACATGTTGTCTAGTCTGAAGTTTAATATGGCACTAGGTTCTCATTAAGTCACATGTTGAATAGTTTTTAAACATAATAATCCATTTGAGGTAACCTTGTATTTCTATATATATGACTTAATGTCAATCAGGATGAATTATTAAATGCTAGTTCTTAGGTTATTTTAAAGTTTGTTTGGAACATCGATTCTATACCATTTACCAGACTATTTACTCATTTATTCGTTGTGAGCACTTAGCATATGCTAAGGATAGAGAGGTGAAAGCTCTCGTGCAATTCATTGTCTTGTGAGGAAGACTCACAATGTGATAAGACGGACTTGCTTAACATACTGTGGGAAGACAAAGGAGCTACATATAACTAGTCATGGAGATCAGAGAAGGATCACAGAAATCTTTCCAATTTAGGGACTACTGAACAGTTGTTAGCCAGGTGAACAATTGGGGGAGGAGCATTGCAGGGAAAAGGAGGTATGTACACAGAGGTAAGTAGTGTGCCATAATCATGGCTAAAAGACGGGTACACTTGTAGGAGTGATGGTAGAGGAGGCAGCCAGAGAAATCAGCTCTCAATCCTCAAAGTTTTATAAGGTTACAAAGCAGTTTGGGTTTTCAAGCAGGAGATTGATACAACCACATTTGCATTTTAGAAAAATTCATTCTGGCAGCACTGGAGAATCTGTTGGAGAAAGGCAAGATTGGAGGCAGTGAGATCATTTAGGAGACTTCTGTAGTAATTTTGGCAGGAAATTCTTAGTACCTAAAATAAGGCTGAGACATGGAGAAATTATGTTTAGGAGCTGTGTGAGAGATAAACCTGATACCCTATATAGTGATCAATATAAAGGAGAGTCAGAGGGTGAGTTCTTCAAAAAGGTTGTACAAAAATGGAATTAAAAGACAATAGGAATATTTCCATGAACTTTTTGAAGACCCTTCCTAGAATGTGACTGTTAAGTGTTCTGTTTGAGTAACTGAATGACAGTGTTGCCGATTATGAGTGTGTGTGAAGTCAATGAGTTTAAATTTTCAACATACAAAGCCTGAGATGTCTATATTATGTTACAGTGATCTGAAGTTTAGGAGAGAGGCCAGGATTGGTGGTAGCGATTTGGGGGTCTTTTTCTTTTTTAAATAATAGCTTTATTGAAATATTCATACCATATAATTCACTCATTTAAAGTGTACAATTACATTCTTTTTATTATATTCACAGTTGTGTAGCCATCACCCCAAAAGGAAACCCTGTACCATTAACAGTCACCATATTTCCCCCATCCCCCTCATCCCTCAGCAACTACTAATCTTTCTTTGTAGATTTGCCTTTTCTGGACATTTCTTATAAATGGAGTCATATTCATATACTGTGTGGCCTTTTGTGCCAGGCTTTTGCTTTGCATCATGTTTTCAGAGTTCATCCATGTTGTAGTATGTATCAGTACTCTGTTCCTTTTTATTGCTGAATAAAAAGGATATATCACATTCATTTTATTGATGGACATTTGGGTATTTCCTACTTGGCTCTTGTGAATAATACTACTACGAACATTTATATATGAGTTTTTGTGTGAACCTTTGTTCTTTTTCTTTTTGAATCTGTGTTTTTACTTCTCTTGAATGTATATCTAAGACTAGATTTATTGACTCATGGTAATTCTATGTTTAACTTTTTGGGTAACTGCCAGACTGTTTTCCAAGTTTTACATTCCCATTATTAGTGTATGAAGTTTCTAATTTCTCCAAATCCTTACCAACACTTGTTATTCTCTCTCCTTTTAATTATAACCATCCTTGTGGTTGTGAAGTGGTTCTCATTGTGGGTTTGGTTTGCATTTTCCTGATGGCTAATGATGTTAAGCTTTTTTTCGTGTGTTTATTGACCATTTGTATTTCTTCTTTGGAGAAATATGTATTCAGATCCTTCGCCCACTTTAAAACTGTATTTTTGTCTTTTTATTATTAGGTTATAAGATTTCTTTATGTATTCTAGATAAAAGTCCCTTATCAAATATGTGACTTGCAAATATTTTCTCTCATTCTGTGGGTTGTCATTTTACTTTCTTGATCGTGTCCTCTGAAGAACAAAAGTTTTTAATTCTGATGTAGTCCAATTTTTTTCTTTTGTTGAATGTGCTTTTGGTGTCATATCCAAGAAAATATTGCTTTCTTCAACATCGAGAAGATTTACACCTTTGTTTTCTTCTAAGAATTTTACAATTTTTAACTCTTACGTATAGGTCTGTAAACCATTGTGATTTAATTTTTATTTGTGGTTTAAGGTAGTGAAAAAATACAATTGATTTTTGTATATCAGCCTTCATCCTATGATCTTGCTAAACTCACTTTTTAGATCTTGTAATTTTGGGGTGGATTTTTTTACATAGACAATTACGTCATCTGCAAATGAGTACAGTTTAATTTTTTTCATTGGTAATCTGTATGCCTTCTATTTCTTTTTCTTGCCATATTGCATTATCTAGGACCTCCACTATAATGAGTAGGAGTGGTGAGAGGATGGTTTTGTCTTGCTCCTGAGCTTAGGGGAAAAGCATTTAGTCCTTCACCATTAAGTCTGATGTTGGCTGTAGGGTTTTTTTTTTAGAAAATTATTCTTATATTTACCTTTTCTGTCCTTTTTTCTTGGCATTTCTGGTACTTTATTTCTTTGTGTAGATCCAAGTTTCAGTCTGGTATGTTCTCTTTGCCTGAAGAATTTACTGTTAAGTTCTTGAAGTGCATATCTAATATTGGTTGATTCTCTTAGCTTTTATTTGTCTGAGAAAGTATTTTACCTTTGTTTCTGAAAGATATTTTTAAAGCATATAGAATTCTGGGTTGACAACTTTTTTTTCTAGTAGTACTTTAAATATATTATTCCATTATTTTCCACCTTATGTAATTTCTGATGAGAAATTATTGTTTCTCTGTGTGCGGCGTATATTTTTTCCTTTGAGTTCTTTCAAGATTTTCTCCTTATTCTTGGTTTTCAGCTGTTTGATTATGATGTATCTAGGTGATTTTTTAAAAAATATATGTACAGTGCTTGAAGTTTACATAAATGGATTTCAACACTGCACACATACACATATGTATATATAAACATACATACATAAATCAAGTCTTGTTATTCATGGTAGTTATATTCAGTTAAGTTGCTGCAGACACTGAATAGTGAATGCTGAAAATTGTTAGTGAATACTAATAATTTAGTATTAGTGAATACTGAAATATTGTTTGCTCCTAGGGGTTAGGTTCCTGTGAGCCTTGTCACAATGTTTTCAGCAACTGATCAGTACATAACCTGGTTTTATGTGTATTTCTGTCTAAAGACATCATTTTTAATATATGTTATTGTTTTGTATTGAACTATGGCCAACAGCACATGCCTAAGCAAAGCTTACCTCACATTTTTTCTGGAAGGCACATCACAACTTCTTGCACTTAGGAACAGTAGACAGCACTGTGCTTGGGGGACATTTTAAACAGTGAAATCACTATCAGAAATTACAGAAATGCAAAAGAAATGGTAGTAAATAGAACACAAAATGGACATTTATTTGCATTATGAAAACTGAAGCAAGAACACCTTGTTTGACCCCACCTGGGAACACATATGTGTGTTGGGCAACTCAAATTTTTTGCCACTCTGCACTTGTCCGCAAATGCTGCAAGAGGGCTGCAAGTATTGATTTTGAAGTTACAATATCAATAGTGAGTAGGCAAATTCACAATGGGAATCTGCAAATAAGGAGCATCAAATATATACACACAATATATATATGTACATGAACACACAAACACATTCAAACATACATACTCATATGCGTGCATAATATACATTTGAGGGTACTTCAAAAAGTTTATGAAAAAATTTGTATTATCTTTTAATTCTATTTTTCCATGAACTTTTTGAAGTGCCCTCATTTAGACACACATACATTTATTTCATTTAAAAATTTTTGCCTGAGTAAAAGATGTATAACAAGAAAACCCTAAGGCTTATTAACACTGATGTTCAGAAAACTTTGTTTCTATCTTTTTCATGAATACTATTGCAATTGGTTAGCTTACTTTCCTACCATAGCATTATGTGTGAGCGTGTTTATGTATATTTACACACATGTGTATGTATACATATATTTATATATTTGTATGTATTTGAAGATTTTGTGGTATTTAAGTTCATTTATTAAACACATTGAACACCAGCTTTGGGCACTGTACTAACATCTGGGAATAGAAATGTGAACAAGGCCTGCATGATCTGCCCTATGGAGCTGACAGTTCATGGGTTGATGATAAGTAAAAAAAATAAATAAATAAAATAATTACAAATTGTATAGTAAATGCTTAAGAAAACAAGCAAGATGCTGAGATAGAAGTGAGGTGTGTTAGTCACCAGGGAAGTCATCAGGGGAGGGCTTAGTTCATGGTAAGGACCATGTAATTTCTCTCTTGCTCTTATCAGTAGTCATTGTTCAAGAACTGAATCAGATTTGTCCTGGAATTCTTGTTTTTTATTTTAAAAATTCTATTCTTAGACAAAAATCAACACATTGTATATTGATAAATTAAAATAAAACATTAATTTAAAAACTATTCTTAATAATGTTGCTAGAAGTATGAAGCATAATTTTTTCTTAGAGAAAAAACATTTTTATGAAAAAGAGGCAGCTGGTGTTTTTTGTGTGCTTTGTTTTTTTTCCTGTTTTTCCCTCTTCAAGGTTGTGTGTCTTGTTTCCTTTTAATTAGGAGAATAGAATACAGAAAAATATTCTACTTAGCAATTTATAATTTTAGAGGTTGTGTCATAATTAGATTTTAGGAAAACTAATTTCCAAAGTATTCTGTAATTTTTACCTGAATTTCCTAAAATATTAAGGGTATGCATCATTTTTCATATTTGAAAGGCTAGAGCACTGTGATGTTTTCAAAAATATTTTAACTACAACTTTTAAAAAATATTAGAAATAATAAAAATGTCTAATTTACAAATGAAAATCAGCTTCCTATTTATTCTTGCCAAGTATTTTTGTAATATAAGTATAGTATGAGTTCTGGTTGATGTTTTATGAAAATTATGTTTAGTTTTGTCCAGTGCAGTATTTACTTGATTTGCTTTCTTCTTGATACTAGGTTAAATGGGCCAGGGAAAACTATCACCATAACATTGGCTCACCATATTGCTTGCGCTTAGCTTCTGCTGATGTCAGTGGAAAGATCATCGTTTGGGATGTGGCAGCAGGAGTAGCTCAGTGTGAGATCCAAGAGCATGCCAAACCTATTCAGGGTGAGGAAAGTATACTGTGCTAAGTGCTGATCTTGATCCACTTACTCTGGGTGTATTTTTTTTTTTCAATCATTTAATTTCATCACTTCCCAGTTAATTCTTGATAGTGTTTAGCCTGTTCTACTGTTCTGAATCTAACTTTCTTTTTCTTGTCAATACACTTCTGAGCATATTTCCTCAAATCTTTATATCAGCCTCAGTCAAGCATGATGAGAAAAATTAAGCTGCTACAATCTTGTAATCAAAGCTGTAATGTAAGTAAATTTGGCTGGGCTGCTATTGTGAGTTAGCCATCAGTGCTTACTTTACATTAATAGAGATGAACAAAATTTTATTCTCATTTACATATAAATCATTTGTTTGCTCATTTCTTTGTTTATCTTACTAAAACCAATACAGTTTCTTTAGACTCAAGTCTTTGAGTCACTCTCTTGACAATGAATTTTTTAAATGACTATTTAACAAATATTTATTGATTACTTACTATGTGCTAGGTACTGAACTAGATCTTTATACTGTTTGTTATGCTAAAAATCATGAAAAACTGCAAAGTCCCATTAAGTAATTCCACAAAAACATTAGGGGAGTCTGATATCTTGATTATGGCTAGGAGAGTCACACATATTGTTTTAAGTAATGATTAGTGCAAATTACCTTTTATTTTGTTTGAAGTAATATTTAAGATAATTGGAATTTTTTGATCTTGAGATTTTAACCAGACAAGTTATTTTTATATAAAATTATTTTTTCCTCTGCAATCTTGAAACAGACATATGTGCCATTTGGGAAGGGGGATGGTTAAGATTTTAAGGGTTATGTTTAAAAAACTAAATATCAAAGACAAAAAAAAAGAGAGCTAAGAGTTTCGAAGTGGATGATTTCTGAATTTTGCCTTTATTTCTATGGTCTTTCCCAGATATCCAGTGGTTGTGGAATCAAGATGCTTCCCGAGATTTACTGCTTGCTATCCACCCACCAAATTACATTGTGCTGTGGAATGCAGATACTGGCACCAAACTGTGGAAGAAGAGCTATGCAGACAACATTCTTTCTTTTTCTTTTGACCCTTTTGACCCCTCACATTTAACTTGTGAGTAATGGTTGCTTGTGGAAATGAATTAAATAATATAGTTAATGCTATGTACACAAACTATACACACACACATTATTCATCTATAATGTTGGCATGACTGTGCAAATTAGAGAAGCATATCTAGTCCATATATCTGCAGCTCCTAATACACACACTAAATTATAACCCCATATCATTCGCAATCATTTTGAAGTTAGAAATTTAAATAAGCATGCCACACCTTTGTTATGTTCAATTAGTGAGTAGTATTGACCAGGGATAGAGTTACTGTTATATTCTAATTCCGATGTAATAAATTCATTTTTCTGGAAACATTTAAAGTACTTAAATCAAGAGTTTCATTTAATCTGTGGCCAGATTAAGTTCTTGCTTTTTAAAAAACTGTCCTAACTTGTACCATTCGTTTTGAGTGCCATAAACAGAGGCATGTAAAGAATAGAATAAGCCCAAGAGAATTTTTTCTTGCAGAGTTGGTTTTTCCAATGTTCTTTTGTTGTTTTACTGAACTAAAAATGAGATCTGCTTTAGACAGGTATTTTTGTGGCTAAATTACTTAGAAAATATTCTTCTTTTTGGCGACTGGCTGGTATAGGGATGTGAACCCTTGACCTTGGTGTTACAAGGTAGTGCTCTAACCAACTGAGCTAACCAGTCAGCCCAGAAAATATTCTTTATTCAGTCATCCAACAGATATTTCTTCAGCTATTACTACTGCTTTGGGAACCAAGACAAGGGTTCTTGCCTGCATAGCATTTGCATTCTCAATGAATGAGAGGGAGTCAGATCATAAACCATGAACATAAAGAGTTAGTAAATTCTAGTATATTAAGAGGTGATAAGCTGTCTAGAGAAAGTAATAAAGGGGATGGAGGGGAATGGGGGATGAGGATGGACAAGTTGTATTAGATAGAGTGTTCAAAATAGGCTTCATTTTGATAATGATCAGAAACTTGAAGGAGATAAGGGAATTAGCTGTGGTAAAGAATGTTTTCCCTGGATTCAAATGACTAAAGATTCTAACTTTTATCCATCACCATTTACTGAGGGGTGTGTGTGTCTGTGTGTGTTGAAGGAAGAGAAAGGCAGACAAGTAGAAGCTAAAATGGGAAACACTGCTATGTAAATAACTACAGTACAGTGTGTTTAGGCTTTTAGGTATTTAAATTTTTGTGTATGAATGTGTACATATATACACTCACTCAATCACCAGTTTGCTCATGTAAATGCGGTCTGTGGGAACACCAAGGAGGGGTGGCTCAGCAGCAGAGTCAGAGAGAGATTGCTCATGTAAATGCGGTCTGTGGGAACACCAAGGAGGGGTGGCTCAGCAGCAGAGTCAGAGAGAGAAGGTGTCACAAAAGAGAGGAAACAAGTGGGACTTTGAATGATGAGTTCTGGAACCTGAAAAGGAGACAAGGCTTTAGGCTAAGTTGATTGCATCAACTCTTTACATCTCTGTAATTTGATGGGTGAAAGCACTGTATATTTCGGAGTGTCAGCTGATCTTTGATTTACTCATACTGAACATACTAGAGTTGTCATAACTCTTGAATGCTTTCTTGTTCCCTGTGTGTAAAGCAGCCTCACCAACTTCCAGGACCCAGGGTAGATAAGGTATTTCTACTCATATATCCCAGTATTAAGTTAGCCCCAGTGTTGAGGGAGATTATTTTTTCAATCATAGAAGGGCAAAATTTGTATTGCTAAATGTGGTGCTCCCACTTTGCATATTTTTATTTCACGTACCCATTGCCACTGTTGGCATTCTACTTTTTTTCTAAATATAAAGGGAAAAGAAGACTCTTTACTCATCCTAAGGTTCAGTCTGATGGAAAAAGGAAATATATTTAGACTGAGTAGCTCATGATAATCATAAAAAATTCAGTATCATCAAATCAGACATTTGAACTTAGCTGTTTGTGATTTACAGAGCCTCTTACTATGGCATTTTTTCCCTTCCTTCAGAATCTTATATTCTGAAAAGCGTTTGGATTTTGAAGTTATGGGATATAATGAGGAAAGGCTTTTAATGAAAGACCATGCACTGCATTTATTTGGAAGAACAAACATTTGTTGTTTCTACCAATAACCTTCTGGTATCTTTTTAATATAAAACATAAATTAGAATGCTGAGCTTGGAAGCCTGTGATGAATTGTAATGGACCACCTGTTTCTCTTCAACTTGGAGAACATTCTCATTATGTTATGACTGCAGAACATTGCCAGTTCTGTATTATTAAAATTATCATTATCTTGTTCTCAAAATTATAGTGGAATAAAACTCTATGCTAAACTTGATTAAACTTTAATTGCAGTTTTGGTTCTCTCAATATAGTACTCACCAGCGAGGGTATTGTATTCATCTCAGACTTCTCTCCATCCAAGCCTCCCTCAGGCCCTGGGAAAAAAGTTTACATATCCAGCCCTCACTCTAGCCCAGCTCATAACAAGCTGGCTGCAGCCATGGGTGCCAAGAAGGCTCTTAATAAAGTAAAAATTTTAATCACTCAAGAGAAACCTAGGTAAGTTACAAGTCTAAAACTAAAAACAACATTCATCTGTTTATCAGATATGAAAGCATTGTTCTTGGAGGTGTGCTAAAATTGATTTTCTTCTTCATCTCACTTTTTCTCATTTCTAATTTTGAGTTCATTAGAAAAAAAAATATTCTTTTTTTCTTCTCCCCTAGGAGGAGATTCAGCATTTGACATAGTTCCTTTGTTTCCATTAGTTGTGCTAAACTCCCCTACTGATTTTTACATATTAAAATTTTTGACTTCTGATTTTTACTTATGAAAATACGACATGATTCTAAAGTTGGGATTATTGAAACATATTAAAAATTTGGGGACTCAAGCTGGATTTTTATTCTAAATATATTTTCCTAGCTTAAGTGCTATGCAATCTCATTAGCCAGCAAAATGTGGCTTTTCTTATACAGGTGAAGGTGTTTCTCATCTTGGTTAAGAGCCAAGATTCTGGAGAAATCCATAGTTAAGTGATTCTGAGAAAATTCTTTAATCTTGCTCAAATTTCACTCTCAACAATCTCTAAAATAGGGTTTTAAAGTTATCATAGGGTGGGTACAGATTAGTAGATACAATAACATAAAGTACTTAATGTAGTGGTTGTCAGTAAGCATTCATTTAAAAAATGTTGTTACTATTTGTTTAGGAAATTGCAAATGAATAAAATTTTAAGTAATGAGTTTTATGCGTTAGAAATAGATTTCTGTTTTTTTCAAATTACTGCTTTAGCAGATTTTTGGCATTCATTTTAAGATAGCCTTTATTTTTAATATGCTAAAGTTATTCTGTATAGACTTTGTGGGTAATTACCTGAAAGATATATGATAAAAATATAAATTGCTATACAAATACATTCTGAATTTGTATGTAAATATCATTTTTATACTTGTGTGTTAAACCATAGGCTGGTTAAGCTCACTAATTTATCCCTCACCCTGTGCCAAAATGATTTAAGATTGCTCCTTAAGTATCTTAAGAAGACTTTCTATTTTTCATCGATTCTCTGGCATAACAAACAATTATTTGGTAGCCTGAATAGTTTGATAAGTTATTATTTATATCTATTATGTTTTCTTTCATATGAATCATATGTTCATCTTGAGTATTGGAAAAATGTATTATTTATCCCTGCAAGTAGAACTGCTCTGGATGCTTTCACATGTATCAATTCATGTAATCTACAATCCTGAGCAGTAGTACTGTTCTCATTTTACAGGTGAAAAAACAGTTCCATATTCTTTAAATGTTTCTCAAGCTCACCCAACTAGGAAATGGGAGAGTCAGGATTTTAATGCAATAAAAATCCCTCTCTCTTTCTAGTCCTCTAAACTAACTTTACATTAATTTCAAAATCTTTCAATAAAATTATTATATAAAAAGAAAATAGTACATAATTATGTCTATTTCTATTGAAATATATTTAATATAAAAAGCGTGTGTTTAAATATCTGCAACAATCACAGATTACCAAAATGATTTTGAGATTCTTTAACCATCGTTTATAATCCTCATAGTTTCATCTGCTTTATTCATACAGAAAAAATGCTGTGATATGAGTGAATAAAATATGCTACTTTGTTTCAGAAAAGGTTTAAGATAGTTTAAAGGTAAATGAAGGCCAGAATAGAGGAAGTGATTTACCCAAGGCCATACAGATAGTGCAATAACTCCTGGTCCAATGGCCCTAATTACCCTAAATGTTTATGTTTTAATCCCGAGTCTTGATTTTAGCAGTCTGTCTAGTAGTTCTAATTGCAAAGGAAAAAGTAAAATAAAACTATCTTATGAATGCCAGTATAGTGTTGTCACTTATCATCTCATACCATAAACATAATAGTCTGCCACTTTAAATATTTCAAAAATTTAGAAACACTGATGTTTCTACCCAACCTATACAATGTTATCATAATTTGGATTTTGACACATAGTAGAGGTCTAAATTTTGGATGCTAATCCATGTTGGTGATTTCAGAAAATAGTTGTACATTGTCATTGGTAATTTTTATGTGGAAAGTACAAAATTAAATTCTTTAGTAGCTCTTTCTGATATGAATAAAGTCTTTGACTCCTTTCTCCATGCCTAAAGTAAATGTTTATTTTTTTCAGTGCTGAATTCATAACTCTCAATGATTGCCTTCAGTTGGCTTATCTGCCTTCAAAAAGAAATCACATGTTGTTACTCTATCCTCGAGAGATTTTAATCCTTGACCTTGAGGTGAATCAAACAGTGGGTGTGATTGCAATAGAAAGAACAGGAGTTCCATTTCTGCAGGTATTTACAATTTATAAATTATACTTCCAAAAGTTACTATAAATGTTGTATAGAGAAAGATCATAATCTTGCAAAAGTCCTTAGTTTCACTTTCTATTTTTTATTTACTGGAAGATTAACATTATTTTATAGTCCTTATTTTTCTGCACTTTTCATATACCCTAGCAATTCTTCACACTGATCCTGAGATATTTACTGAACTATTTCAGCTACATGGATAAAGACAATTTTGGGGGGATTATAAATGAATTTTTAAAATGTTCATTTAGTTTTAATGCTTGGGCTTTATTTGTGTATTTTTGTTTGTTTTTCTTTTTTCTTGCTCATATTCTCTATGAGTTTGTTTCATAGTATATACTTTGTTAGTCTATTATATTTTTTAAAATAAGTACATCATCTATTTAAAGGTAATACCCTGCTTTCAGCGTGATGGTTTATTTTGTCTACATGAAAATGGTTGTATAACCTTACGAGTTCGAAGATCTTACAATAGCATTTTCACCACTTCAAATGAGGAACCAGGTGAGTTTATATTTCACAATAATTATTTTATCTTCAAAATTATTTTATAAGACTTCATGTGGCAAGTGTTAGCCAAGGCATAGATTTAATGATAGACATTACCTTGAGAAAGTGTTGTTAGAATATGGTTACAATATGAGACATAAAATAATACAAGCCCAAGATTAGTGTCTTCATGTTAGAATAGTGCGCCTTTTATAGTCAACAAAGCAGGTAATATTTTTAATTTCTTCTTAATTGTACCCATGAGCCAAGTGATGTTATCTTTTGTGAATTTTTCTTCAGTACAAGTCCAACCTTGTGTGCCTTTCTTATTACAGTCACTTGACAACTCCTCTGGTTTAGGAATTTCCATTCTAAAGTGGTACAGGTTAATAAGCCTCCAGAGCACTCAGTTGTAAGGTCACTTTTATCTGGGAGAACAGAAGTAATGTTTTTGTGAAATGATGTAGTATGTAAAGGTGAAAGCAGTTTTTACATCTTTTGTAAAGTACAGTTATTTACAGGCTTATACACTACTACAAATTATGATGGTGTATAGTGCACTATTTATTATTTAATCATATATCACTGTTGATCCTTCAAAGCATTTTCTTTGAAAATATTGAAAAACAAGATATCTTGATCATAGTTACTACTTTGGAGATCAAATTTGGCGTGTGTAGTTGTTAAGTGAATTATCTTTACATTCTGAAGAAAGTAGTACTACAATTTTAAAAAGTGAGACATTTCTTGACAAACTTCACATTAGTGAAGGAATAAAAATCCTTTTTAGTTGGGGTTTTATTTAAATTGAAATAAATAGTAGTGATACTGATATGGTTACTTTCTGATATTTAAAAGAAAACAATTCTATGTTAAGATCCAGATCCTGTTCAGGAGCTTACCTATGATTTACGAAGCCAGTGTGATGCAATCAGGGTGACAAAAACTGTCCGTCCCTTCAATATGGTGTGCTGTCCTGTCAATGAGAATGCAGCTGCTCTCGTAGTGAGTGATGGCAGAGTCATGATATGGGAACTCAAGTCTGTTCTATGTAATCGAAATTCACGGAACAGGTAAATGAATTGATAGGATTATGTTTCTGATTTTTGTTTTCTGTTCCTCTTTTTTTTTTTTAAATTACAAGAATCATGTAAAAATAACAGGGCCATTTTTCTATAAAATATTTTTAAGGTGATAATTAAGGAGGCTTTAGATTATTAGAGAATTATGTAAACTTGCTAGAGCTATTTCACATATGGGTAAGATTAATAAACAATATAAAAAGAGATAGAATACCATGATCTGGAATTAATAATTTGCATTCGTAATATGTAATACAGGTTTTAAATATGTAAAACCATTTAATTATTGTCTTTGCAGTAGTTCTGGTGTGTCACCTTTATATTCACCAGTGTCTTTCTGTGGAATTCCTGTAGGAGTACTACAGAATAAACTACCAGACCTTTCCTTAGATAACATGATTGGTAAGCTTTTTTTTTTTTCCCCTCTACCTTTCATGTTAGGTATTCTTTTTGAAGGGCAAAAATAGTCACTGATTTGCAATTATTGCAAAGTCAAAGTTAATATCTGAGAAAACTAAAATGTAGAACCATTCTTTCCTAAATATATCAGAGGGGTGTAAAATATTTAAGCATAGAAGTGCTTGAAGTAGCATAGATAGGCATTGTACTTGGTGGAATTAGAAAACGTTCATTGATGAGAGACTGATCTAAATGAAAGAGATGACAGTGGGCATCTGGATTTTGGGTTGATAGCCTTTGCTGAGCTATACCATACCTCTTTAGGGCCTTCATGCTCACTGGTCCCTCAACTTGGAATTAAATGTCTGCTTCCTCTCTCTCCCTTTCTGCTACTCCTAATTTAAAATTCAACTCAAGGTTGCTTTCTTTAATCCCCCAAACCTAATTTAAATGTTCTTCTTTTGTGGTCCCGTGTAGTTACTAGATATATTGTAATTGTGGTTTTACTTCTGCCTCCTCCAATGAATTATGAGCTCCACAAGGGCGGGACAGTGTTTGATTCAGTTTTGTATACCCCAGCTCTTAGCACAGGGCCAGTGCATTCTAGACGTGGGGTAAATATTTATTGAAGGAATAAAGTAACTGAATGATATTAGAAAAAATTATTTTAACTTTTTGACATGAATTTTCTTATTTTTATGTTGGGGATTCTTACTTTCAACAAATATTTATTTGCAGATAAAATATTCAAGGCTATTATGGGGGTATGAGGATAGTTCAAAATGTTCATGTAAAAATAGAATTAAAAGATAATATGAATCTTTCCACGAACTATTTGAAGTATCTGCATATATTAAAGGAAGAATGAGGATTTGTGATTTTAAATATCATGCAACTTCCAATTGTAAGACTTTGTAAATATGCCGACCAATTTTGACATCTAGTTCTTTTAAAATTGTGGCTATGGTTTATAAAGGATTTTCTATATCATTATTTATTCTTCCATAATGTAATTGAAAATGGATATTATTTCGTAGGTTTTTTTGTTTAAGTGCTAGATAAATGATATTCTAGAAAGAGCATTACGTTATTAATCATATTAATCAGATGTCATTTATTGAGTGCTTAATACTACATTAAATACTGTGTTAAATACTCTACGTATTACCTCACCACAACCCTGCAAAGAAGGTAAATATTTCCATTTAATATATATGAGAACTGAGGCTCAAAGAGATTAAAAAAACTTGCCTCAAACTACACACAGCCAGTAAGTGGAAGAGCCAAAATGTGGAACCAGTCATCCTGGCTGTGGAGCCTGTTTTTTCACAGTGGCCTTCAGTCCTGGCTGCTCCACTGTCATCTTAGAGAAGACCCTGACTTCTCTTGGCCTTGGTTTTGTCATGATTCCTGCCAGTTGTAAAATCCTTTTGCTCAATGACACTAACTTTTATTTTATTGAATCAAAATTGATTATACATATTTTGGGGGTTTAACATTGAGATTTGTTGATCAAATCAATATTACTAGCATATATATTGTTACAGATCGTAATTATTCTTTATGCCCCTTGTCCACTCTTTCCCCATCCCCTTCTCCCCCACCCCGATTACCCTAGATTTCTTCTCTCCTTCTGAAAGAATAATGGTTACTCTGTTGATTTGTTGCCTAGATGATCTGTCCAATACTGAGAGGTGTGATCAGGTCCCCCAATATTGTCATAGAGCAGATGCTTCTTCCGTCACTCTGAAATGGACTTTGTGGAGAGAGACATTGTCTTCTTTTCTTTATCTCTGCTGGTGACTCTCCTTGAATGACACTAATTTTTCTATTTAAAATTATATTAAGTGAAATAAGTCAGATGCAGAAAGAGAAATACCACATATTCTCACTTATTTGTGGGAGCTAAAAATAAATAAATAAATAAATATACCAACAAACTATATGGGAAGGAGACACAACAATCATAATTCCTTGTACTTGTTAAGACAAGTGAACAGATATGTTGATTGGGGGAGGGGAGGGGAGGGAAAGTGAAATTGGTAAAGGGACACAAAAATCAACTGCATTGTATATTGATAAATTTTTAAAAAAATTAGATAGCTTGAGAGTTATTAGAGAGAAAATTAAGTTTTAGAATAAATCTTATGGAATTATAAAAACATAAATAAAGAAATAAAATAAAATAAAATAAAGTTCTTTCTATTCACCATCCATTCACCAGACATAAATCCATATGAGAAAGTTTAGTTACATAATTGTTTTGCAAAATTCATTTTATCAATAGCACAGTTTTCTGACTTAATTGACCTTATCTATTATTAATATAAAATATTAAAGTGAGAAGAATTATAAATACACATTAACAGAACTAATCAATAATAGGAAGCTCATAAGAGGTTGAAGTTTTATGCTGTTTAGGTATCTGCGTGATATAAATTATAGTTGTTTTTTTATTTTTTTGTCTTTTTTCTTTTTATTTTATTGACCGGTAATGGGATCGCAACCCTCGGTGCTGCGCCTGCACCGCGCTCAGCCAGTGAGCGGGAACCAGTCTCCACATGGGATCCGAACCCTCAGCGGGAGCGCCGCCGCGCTCCCAAGTGGCGCACTCTCCAGTGCGCCACCGGGCCAGCCCGAAATTATAGTTTTTAAGAGATAAAAGGAAATAGATCGTATAGCAGTCCTTGACAATGTAACTGGTTTAAAATTGTTAAATAAATAAAGCTTTGTTACTTGAAAACATCTAATTAAAACTTCTAATTAAGCTTTTAATTTGAGATTCACTGTGTTCTTAGTGATAACTGAAAGCAATTCAGTTAAATACGAAGGCTGATTTATATTCATTGGATAAAGGCTGGCGATTATTAAACCATAGTATGCCCTACCTTGTGAATTGCCTCTT